TAATAATAATAATAATAGGTAGCTAATTGGAGGTGAAGAATAAATAAAGAACTCAATTAACACAATTTTAATATATGTATTGACTATTCTGTTTTTATTGTTTTTTTTCTCCATATGATGCAGTGGAGTGGGAACGTTTGATCTTTACCTCCATATTTCGCCCATAAAATCGCTGACGAAGTCCCTTAAGATGAATTTAATGAGAAATTTCTGTGACGAAATATTTATTCCGCATGGAACATATGCTACATATTTTTTACAAAAAATATTTCATTTACTGCGATTTTCAAAGCTGACTAAATATTTTAATAGATACATGTAACAATATCACGTAATAAATCAACATTCTGGAAATCTGTACGAATCTTCAGAAATTTAATCTTGAAACTACAGAAATTTTATGCATTAATAAAACAACATTTCCAGTACAGTGGAGGTAGCAACAAATGCATGAAGATAAGATAATTATGAAATATCTACATAATATTTATTGCAAAATTCTACATTGCTATGGGATTTTACGAGCTGAATAGCTGGAATGAAGTGATGATTAAAATAACGGTAATTATTCAGTAGATTCGCACCAGCTATTTATTTCCAGCGCTCAGAATTTTCACGGACGTCAATCGATTTTTCTTTCATTTTACTTTCTCTGATTGCGAGATTGATTTATCAACTTGCTCACACCGTTCGTTACATGATCTAAGAGAAACATTTTATTACCCTTGAAGATAATGAACAACAAAGAGATTAATGATGTAGACAATCCAGAATAGATTCCTCAGCGTCTCATCTCACTACCTGCAATCACTCGTTGGTTTAATTACTTATTACAGCTTTTAGATTTCATTCAGATGAATTAACTGTAAATGCCTCATTCATTGTGGCAGGGAAGGCAGGGGGCGGAGAGCAATATGATGACAACTGAGAAACTTGAAGATTATCTTATAATGATTTTTAATATAAATCCCGTCATCACACTGGGAAATTAATAAATTATTAATTACTCGGAAGCTAATAAATTATTTTGTCGGTGTTTTTTGAAGTCGCATCGATTTTTTGGGGATAGCAAGATTCTTTTAATTGGAATTCGAGAAATCGTTGGTGTGAATCTACTAAATAATTACCAGAATCACTCTTCACGATTGAGTTTTTTTTCAAACACAGACTTCATTGTTTGTCGAAATCCCTATGCACTGAGTGAATTTAAAACGTGAAAACATCTTCGAATTTGGTGTGGAGTGATATTTCGTGGAACCACTTTGGTGGGACTGAAGTTCTAAGAGAATGTCTGATAGGAACAACAATCTGAAAATAAACGAAATTATTACTATTATTATACTTTCATCAACTGAGAAAATATACCGCATTTTTCAGGCTGAAAAGTCATATCAAGATTTTGAACGAATTAAAAAATATGTTGATCCGCGATTGGTATATAAAGATTATATAATTTAAAGATGTTCTGCCTCTATTCTGAAAAATCTCAAAGAATGATAGAATTTATTTAAAAGCTGCTCCAGTCTATCCGAGACCTGTATGAAAAATTCGAGATTGTTTTGGAACCCCAGAATAAAGTTATGATTTTTTAAAAATGTAATTGACATATTGCCATGATTAATACATACGAGACCTACTGCGTACTCCGTGCACAGAATTTAAATTTGGCGGTTCGACTCGACCAATGAGAAATTAGTCCTACACATTTCGAGATATTTCGACTCGGGCGAACTTCATTTTTGTGTTTCTACTTTCATAATAGGGTAATCCGAATAATAAAAAAAAAGGTAATCCCAATAAAGTGGACAATAGCCCCTCAACGGAATAATTGAAACTTCCATTCATTCGTGTTCAGAGATTGGAACATAATTACTGGGGTAATTACTCCGAAAATTACCTGTGCAGACATCCATGCGCTCAGTACCATGTCACAATACCATATTGCTGGGACATCCATGGTTCATCCTGTACTCAACGTAAAGCATACCAGTATTGTGCCAGTAATAGAGTGCCAGCACGACCAGTACATGCCACCATTGATGAGAGGAGCCGATATAATCTACTGAGCCTATTCATAAAATAAAAATATATGATTACTGAACAACATTCAAATTATTTGACTCTTTTTCGGCTTCCCGTCGGGTCGCCAACTTCACACCCGTGAAAATTCCCGGCTCACATGTGTCGAACTAGTATATTTTGTAACAAGTGCGGAAATAGTATTTTTCATGCCTAGGACGTAAAAAGTGAATCTGGCCAATGCGGTTTTATAGTCAGAGCCGAAGGCAAGGATTATAACGCGCATGATGTTCTTTTATGTCATTGTGGCCGAAAACGTGGTTTTATCCGAGCGAAGGAAGGTTAGAAACTCGTTTTACCGGTCGCGATGACATAAAGTGATTTTTTACGTGTGGGAGGTTTATAGCACGAGCCGAGGACGAGTGGTATAATCCCATATGCCCAAAAAAAACTTTCTGCATGAGTTGGGAACAATATTTTTCTTCGGAATGTGCGGGAAAGTCACTTTTTAGTTACTTTTCGGCACATCGTGATGGAAATACTATTTCTGAGGAATTTAATCGTAATGCCTAATACGTAATCGAAAGCTTTACTATTACTGCATTACAATTTCTATCGGTTTCCCAAAATTTTCTTGATAGACACTTACAATCGAATCTTTTAATATAAACAAAAAAATAAAAAACATAAGATAAAAAAGCCCAATGAAATAAGTTAGGGGCTATTTATGTGTGATTTTTCTCAGAGAAAAAGTATGAAGAGTCACCCAAAGCAGTCGTATCCTCCGAGGCAGATTCATCATTTGTAGCAACAATAACTATGCTTACGTAATACCGATAGCATTATGCAGTTGTTTACTGAGAAATCATTGCAAATCCACATGCAATACAATAAATTGAATAGAAAAATCATCAAATTGACTTGGACGAATTTGACATTACACCGAGAGACAAATTCAGTAAAAATTACTTAACCGTTTGGTAATCATGTCGTGTTTCAAACGTCCGGGGAAAATTACCGTACCGGTTAGTAAAATTAGAGAAATTACTCAATTATTAGTTATTTATATAAATTAGTTCAGTACAGCTTTATTTAGGCAGTTTTTAAATTTTTCCTTTTTTCATAAATTCTAATAAAAAGTCGGATCCACTTTTTTGGAGGAATAATAATCGTGGACTTACAAATGATTTCATATTCTCCAGACATAATTTTAGCAATCGATTTTTTTAATTTCTATACATGGTCGTATGAATAATCTGGGAAATAGTGATCGATTAAATAATTATATCTTCTCAATGAAGTTTCCAAACACATGATTCCCATTAAATAATTCCTCAAATTTAAAAACTCAATCTACTTTAATTTTTCTAATAGACAAGAAGATCCAAAATGCATAAGATTTTCAAAATTCATAAAAAAACAAATAAAAAAATAAAAAATGTATAAATCAATCACTCAATATATATCGAAATAACAGACAGACTAGTTCCAAAAAATTATGTTTATACGATAGAGCATGATCTAAAATTCCGAAATTCACCGTTTTAGAAAATCGTGATTATATAACCAATTGGCGAAAATTTCCGAACTAATTAGACTGTTGATATAATGCTTAGGTCGAATGCAGTGAAAATGAAAAGCTGGCGGTAAATATTCATGCGTGCTAGATTTAAATGGATTCCATTGACTGACCTGGGAACCATCTTTCTGGTATTTTAGTGAGATATATGGCAAATGCCCCACCACTGATGACGTACATCCCCAAAACCCTTGGCACCAACATCTTAACCATGGGATTCTCCATACCACCCATGGTGATGCCCCAGTGAAATGTCGGAAGAACTCCATAAATCGCCCACCCGACGAACACCAGAAGTTTAACGTTTCCATTTACCTCTAGACTAGGCATCTGAAGTACCATTGCAAGTACGAATATCAAGAGTACTGTGATCAGGTAAAACTGCTGCAGCTCCTGCAATCACGGATATTTAAATTAATAAAGTTTCATTATTAAGGTTGAGGCGTAATTAATATGTCAGGAGAAAGATAAAACAATAGAATGAATGAATATATGAATCAGAGGAGGGATATTTAAAAAAGAC